TATGCACCAAAGCTACTCTCAGGCAGTCGAATAGAACAGACTATTTGCCCGCGGAGGTACAGACCTTCGTCTCGGCACGACAAATATACGAATGCGCCCGCACCGCGCTACCTTCGCGTTGCCAATGCCCACACCTCTCATCACCCTTACAAGCAAGCACTAGCGCTAAACAAGGCGTTCCTTCAAATTCTCCATCCACGGTAGCATGTGAACATGATTGCCATGCAGAAACCTGCCACCCGATCATGCAGCGATGCTGGGGGAATGCGGCACGAATGCACATCATGTGCATTTGCTCCATCCACGGTAACACGTGAACATGACAGCCATGCAGAGACGTGCCACCAGAGCATGCAGGGCTCTTGGGGAATGCGGCACGTAAGTGTATCATGTTCGTGACGGTAGGTAGTTTACATTATTGAGTGCTACATAAAAAACTAGAGCTGGGTACATTCACCCTTATACAACAGCCGCATGCATACGGCACAGCTATGCTGAGCAGTACCTTTTCGTTAGAACGCTTATCTTTTGCTGCGACGCTGACACCCTGTATAGCCTGGCCGTGATACACATCAATAAAGTTCGGGTTTTGCCTAAGCTTTTCCAAGATCTCCACTGGCGAACTCGAGTTTCCCAACGCAAGCAACAGAATGTCAGATACAATCCGGATTTGAAGGGACAGAGACCCGCCAATTCACGAACCTCAGTGACATACTTAGGGCTCTAGGCCTGGCAGATATATGCGTAGCAAAAGCGCAAGCCCATGAGAAGCGCTCACTTATTAGCGCCAGTTGTACCTATCCACAGCATGCCAAGCATCCTTGGTCCCAGCAGCTGCATGAATGTCACTGCCACGCCGCACTATGACCACAATGAATGTCACTGCCACGCCGCACTATGACCACAGACCCCTTGAATCACTAACGTCCGCTCTTACCTCAACGCGAACAAGAGCCCTCGAACAAGGCGAGGAACATATACTCCCTCTACGGCATGTCTGTTTATGCTGCACATTCTATGCCGGTTCAACATGCTCCCCAAGCCAGCTAACCACTTGGCAGAGCGTGTGTACGAGACTCACATGCAAGCAGAAGCTCTCATCGAACGCATCAGCGCAGCGTGAGAAGCGGCTTTGTCGTTAGCAGGGAGACGCTGTGCATCGTCACCATTATGCACGACTCTACATGGTCTACCGGTACATTAATCCCACCAGCACTGCAGGCGCATTGAAACTGAAAGCAAGATTACCCACAAAGAGGATAAGCAAAATACACATGCGCAATTCCATGTAGTACACGCGCAGCGGTGGAAGCACATGATAAAGCCACTAGTGTCAGTCTTCGTCGGAATCCGTCTCACAGAAAAGCTGGTCGGCCGAAAGCTCGAGACAAAGAGGATATGCAAAACTCACCTCCGCGATTCCATGTTCTACACGCGTAGCACTCGACATACGGCATGAAGCTACAAAACATAGTCTTTTAAGACCTTTTACAAGCCACAGCCTCCACCAACGGCATGCCGCCGTACCACGATTGCACAGGATGCGAAAGGATACCTAGTAGCCTGGGAAAAGCATTTCCTGTGCAGCTAACCAACGTCGCGCCTGGGTCACACTCATAATGAGCGGCCATTTGACACCAGTAACTATTGATGACCTAGGGCGTCCCTCCAGAGCGTCGCGCCTAAACGCTCTCACGTCACCCAGAAGATTGAAGCTTACGAGGCAAGGACTTTCCCCGCCTTCTGCCATATTGCGTTCGTGTTGTCCGGGCGGTCCGCTAGGACTGTGACCCTTGATTGAACTGTTGCAACGAACGCCACGAAACCCAACAATCGTCGCGATCATTAAGACGAGGCTTGAGAATGCAGCCAACATGCCAGGCCAGCGTCTCCCTAAAGCCAAAATATCTTGGTGATCAGCTCGAGGTGTTCCTCCTGAAGGGCTTGCGTTTGGCAATCCGTCTTCTGACGTCTTTGCTCCAAGGAAAGCGTCAGCTGTGATGACAACTAAGATTAGGAAGTGTAGTGCGTGCATTTTTGATTCAATAATTAAGGGGCTGAAGCGATATTGTGTTACTCGTGAGCTTTTCTTGCTGTCAGAGAGGAGCTTTTGTCTCTTGCCTGCTCGCTTTCTGTGGCCTGCAACGTCTGCCAGTACACACAAGTGGGAAACTTTTTGGAAAGGCCTATTAAAGCCAATGCCAAAATCTCAAAATACATAGACAACAGCAAAGAAGTTAATCGAAACGTTTAGCCGTAACGTGAACAGTCTGCCTCGTCGAGACTAGGGGGTCACATACGTGCGCTCCCGGGGCACTGGAGCGTTGGATGCGCCAGGTCCCACAGAGGATGGGATACTTTCACGAATCATTGCGCACAGGATCACGCAAGAATTAGAGTAACTGGAAAATGTATTTATAAAAAGCGCTCTGTGAATGTTGTGGTATTTATTTTGGTATTCGTTTCCGTGGATGTGAGACGCGCAAGACACACTGTGTCGCCCGTTTTGGAAGCGGACCGCTTGAACAGTAGCCTGGTGGCGACCGAGCAAAGCAAAAGCTTCACCAAGTCACAACTGATTTGGAAGACAGAATGTTTATTAAATCAGGCAAAGACACATATGTGATCCTTCGTGTGTATTTTCAGTGGAAACAGATATGCAGCGCGCGGTCAAACCTAGTAATGCTGCTGTGCCCGAATGTACTGCCGTTGCAACACAACTGTCTTTGGAAAGAACGAAGGATTCTTCGTTGAAATGAGGAATATTCCCAGAATATGGATCGTAACTTTTGGAGCATATTCACCGAATAATGAGCTAGCCGCTGCCAGGCTGGCAGGCGTTTCTGTTTGAAGGCGCTGCGCGCGAGTATATATTCGCCGACAAAGGCGAACTTTTAAAATCAACATTGTACCAATGTTGATTTTAAAAGCTTTTTAGTTATTGCGTACGCGTTGGGGCTTCTGCGGTGGCCGAGCCAGATATAGCCCCCTAAACTGAGTGGATGTCTCCCTGTAGTTCAGCAGCAAGCAGAGGGCTGAGGCTCGCGAACGCAGCAGTTAGACACTTGCAGCGCAGCGGTAGTGCAGCGCGATGGATTTGGTAGACAGAGTGTGGCAAGAGCTGAGCCAGCCGGGCTCTAACTGGAGTGCAGCGCCGCCAGACTGCAGCCGTTCCTGTCTAGTTTCCAATGGTCAAGGAAAATGAATTTTCGCAAGAAAAGGCCATTGGCATTCACCAGAGCTTTGCAGTTCTCTCGAAGAAACCTGCAGCCGAGCTCATTTCACACAGAGAAAGTGCTGAAGCTCAAGACGAGGGCTTGGCTGCACAGTCGCCAGGGAGCAGAACAGCCTACGGTCTTGAGAGCTGGAAGTCTATGTCCTGCACAATGCAAAGGAACGCAAATGTGCTGAAGTAAGAGCGCAGCAGCAACCGCAGGCACAACGCTATTGCGGCGCTGAAGCGGGTCTTTATGGACGCCTCCGTGACCAGCCTTTTTACAAAAGAGCGTTTGCTTTGCTGCCGGATCCGCTGCTGCTGTGTCTTTCGGGGCCCGCCGAAAAGGCACGGCTCCTCGCAGCCAGTCTTCTTTTTAAGCTTTTCTGCGAAGCAGCAGCAGTGGACAAAACCCCGGGCGAAGTGCTGCGGGAGCTGACTGCCAGCTTTGGCTCCGAAGACATTGAAAGAGTGGCTCACCTCCCTCCAGTGATGCTCCCAGATCCTAAGTAGAAGCCCCTGCAGGCGACGTCCATAGAGCAGAGCGACGAAATGCGGCAGACTCTGTTCAAGTTGCTCCAGCTGGTGCTGCACAGAAGTTCAGATGAAGCCGTTTTGAGCCACCTAGACTTGGCCGTAGGCCTGCTGCACGCCCGCACAATGGCTGTGTGCCCTAAGGTGAAGTCTTTGGCTCTGGAAGCCGTCGTTGAGCTCTGCAGTCGGCACCAAAACATGCTGCTGCACTCCAATGAGCCGCTGTCGAGGTCACTTCTTTCCTGTCTCATGCACCGACACTCGCGAATCCGAATGGGAGCTCGTCGCGCACTCACGCCGGTGCTTTCTTGTGGCTTCTACAAGTACAACGGCGAAATCATTCACATTCTGGCTGGCTGGCGGGACCTCAACGTAGTGCCCGTCAAGAGTTTGTACAATGTCAGAACCATAGGGAACTACTTCGCGGAGTTGCTGGCAGACCTCTCGCCGCTGGTGCGCATGTTTTTCTTCGACACTGTTGGCTACTGGCTGCTCAATCTGCAAGACAAGGCGGACTTCAGAACTTGGCTGTTTCCTTTGCTGAGCTGCTATTCGATTCTTTTCGGCCCATTCAGCAGCTGGCCTTTCTCCCTTTGAAGCAACTCGGGAGGCACTACGAGCAACTTCACGAAGAGGATTTGAGGGAAATCAAACGCCAAAATCAACTCAGAGACCCCGGCGAGGAGCTCGTGGGTGGCACCCCCAGGCCTTGCCTGGGAGGACGCACCATGATTCGGACATATTTCCGATGATTTGCAATAACCGTTTTTCAACCCGTTTCAGATTTCAAAGAAGCCTTCTACACGGCCTCCGCCCGCCTTCTGGTGGTTTCTTTCACCTTTATAAAAGAAGCTTCTGTGGAATGGCTCGACAGCCGCTTTGCAATTTGCTGCAGATTCCTCGCGGCGCCGCAGCAGCACGCAACAGCAGGAGTGGAGTCTCACAGAGTGGCTCTGCAGCTCTTGGGGGCCTTTGCTGACCCGGAAAACTACTGGGAAATTGCAAACGACGCTTTAAGGGAGAATTTCAAGTTTACGCTGCAACACTCAGCAGCCTGGCCTTGATGCTGCAAGGATCCTTCATGTATCCTTGCAGCATCAAGGCCAGGCTGCTGAATGCTGCCAACCCGAGCCTCGGCCTGGCCTGCGAGGGGCCAGTTTTGCGCGGAATTGCCCAGGTGCTTTCTTCCATTCATTTGCTGCAAGTCCTATCTGCGTGTTGCTGCTGAGGACCTGACGCAACTCGTGCAGGTTCTGGTGTCTGGAGTTCCAGGTCAAAACGAAGCTCTTTCGGAAGAAACCTGGCGTCATTTGCTCAGTGTAATTTGCTCTTTAGCAGC